CTCCGTAAATGTCGACCACCTGAGGTTTTAAAACGTGCACCCAAGTGTGAGCACACGGTCCTACAGCATTTTCGTCTCCATCGGAAAGGCAGTTGCCACAGCCGGGATTTCATCCCGTGTTCTGCGGGTCAGCAGCTGAGTACCTTAGCCACTAGACCCACGAAGGTGGGGCTCAACAGAGCGTCGGCCATCGTTCAATTGAGAAGCGGTGGTGTGCGTCACCATTTATACACGTGCCATCGAATGTTCTAGCCTTATCACTGGCTTTTGCGCAAGCTTTCGAGTGTTAACAGACCAATGTGCGCTATTGAAGGCTTGTCGAACAATGACGCACAGTGTGCGCTGAGCGTTCCTGACAGGTTTTGTGGGCGTAAATCTAATGAAGCTACAGTGGAAGTAGAAAAAACGCGCAAGACACTAATATAGGCTGAAGACATATAGCGATTTCCATTGGGTGAGGAGGGGCACTCCTGATTGCTCTCAAAGTGCTCTCGCGAGTTGCGGTGCCTTGCAACGGTCGAGTAGTAATGAGGATGTTAGTTTCATTTGTCGAGGAAGAGCACCTTTTTGGCGCTCATGGCAGCCGAGAGAAGCGTTAAGGGCGAGGCTTCTTTCAGTCTAACCTTGGCACTCGTCACGCGTAACTGACAGAAGAAGAGACGAAAAAAAAGCAGAAGAAATGAATGAGCATTTCAAGTCTCATTTTCTAGATGGCATTTCTGTGCCGCTACTCTCCGATGGGTCACTGCACACGATTTGCCTGAGTGCGCAAGCAAGAAGCGCCTCTCTCAGTCTCCTGGATGGTCGCTGTACGTCGCGGATCGTTGGTGGGGCATGGACGAAGCAGAGCGGCGGGCGCGTTGAAGACGCTTGCGCTCGGCTTTCTTGGCCCACGTCTCGTCGGTTTTACCAGCGCGCCTTTGCATACTAGCACGCGATCAGGCGCATGCGCGCATACACGGACGAACTGACACATTGACGGATGGATGGATGGGCGCTTCACCCCACTCAATATTATTCACTCCGTGTATATGCTGTGATTCTTGGTGCTCCACCACCAGCGTCGTAGTAAAAGAGTGCTAAGGAATTCGTACTACTTATTTCACGTCACTTCTGATTGTATGCCTCTTTAGGCGCAGAAAAGCAGCGCACGGAGAGGGTGAGCGTGGGACATGTCTGAAAACGAGTGTGATTGTTCTATTCTAGAGACGAGACTACATGTCCCCGCGGCCCCCGTTTCCTGTTCTGGCTGACCATTCGCCTTGGTCCAACTTGGTCAATGGAAAGCGTGAATAATCGGTTATTGCAGCCTTGATATAGATAGAGCATCACCAATGCTGGCGACGGTGGGGGAGGGGGAGGCGGATTTACTCAGCGCTCGTTCATGTTGAAGAGGGGTCTGAAAACACGTGAACACGTCAAAAAAGTAGATAACTTATACTGATGATCAAGATGCGATTATATTAGGAAGGTGCTGAGATAAGTTTCGTTTTAGGTAAATTATTTTTGTATACTATGTTTTGAAAAAAAAAACACAGGAAATTTTTCCACGAAGTTTAAAATTTGTTAGTCCCGAGTTTGATTTCATTAGTGAAACGCTAGCAGTGCGAGAATAGCTTGAGGTAATAAAACACGCTAAACCATTCTGAATGTATGCAATGTTAGTAATGTTTTTTACCGGCGTCCCGAAAAGAAGAAGCATTCTCGTTCTTGTGTCTACTTACCGTTCTGCAGAGAAATACTTTTGAATGACATGAAGCTTAACATTTCTGCGCATCTAACGAAGAGATCTGTTGGCATTGTCAGGGATGTATTCAATGTCGCATGCCAAGAAAGGTTATTGGTGACCTGAATTCCGGGATATTTGTGTGATGAGTCAGGGTGACGCGGGAATGCATGACTTTGAATTGAGGGGGATTTCGGGCTATGATCTATTGTGAGCACCAGCGTTATATTGTGACGAGTGACAGCAGGTGATGATTGGTGCGTGTCTCGCGCCTTAGCGCGAGGAAAACGAAGTGAATCGGCAGTCTTCAGCCGGACACTTGAAGAACACGTTTCGCACCTTCAACAAATATTTACAAGGCTCGAAATTGCAGCCTTAGAGTTCAAGCCACAGAAGTGTTTCTTTTTTTGTGCTGCCATCAGTTACCTTGGGCACGTTGTCACAAAATACGGTGTATCTCCTGACGTATCTAAACTGGCAGCGGTTGAGGCTTTCCGGCCTCCTCGAAATGTACAGGAACTACAATCATTCATCGGGCTCAAATCGTACTTCATGAAGTTTATCCCGAATTACAGCGTTATTGCAGCACCTCTTCGATCACGTCTTAAGAAAAACGCTACTTTTTCTTGGGAATTAGGAAGATCAACAAGTGGCATTTGAGGCTTTAAAGCGCGTTGTGCCAGCCACCTGTCTTCAGCTATTCTCCGAAAAACCAGAATTTGGTGTCCAAGTAAACACAGATGCATCTCGGCTTGGCTTGGGGGGTCTATTGCTGCAACAAAATGAAGAGCGACAATATTGTCCAGGGCTATACTTGAGTCGATCTCTCAAAGGCGCAGAGTTTATTTATTCTTCGACATAACTGGAAGCTCTTGCAATAAAATGGGCATTAGAAGAGCTACGACCATACCTGATTGGACAAATATTTAAAGTTTCTAGCGACCACCGTGCACTGTGCTGGGTCTCGCGCTACAAGAAAGGAAACCAACGCCTTTTTCTTTGGTCACTGATTCTGCAGGAATTTGACTCTGATGTCATCACATAAATCGGAAATCTTGCACAGTGCACCAGTTTGTCTTTTAGAGAATCCCCCAATTCTGCAGTATCATATCCATCACTGCGATTCTGTGACAACAAGGGTGGTAAGCAGCGTCAAGATTCATTTTGCGCTAAATTCCTGAATATGGCTAGTGGTGCGCTGGGCACGAAAAAAGCAACAGGAACGCGTTCAAAAGTAGTTTGTCACGCATAACGTCTTGGTGTACAAAAGAAAGCAAGGTCAGTCAGCAGTCTATTTCTCCTCTGCCTTCCTGCACAACGACAAGGTGAGGCACTCCTTGAATTGCATAAAGGACGATACGGCGGCCACATGGGCATCAGGCGAACATTCGATGCCCTTAGGTCTAAGAATTACTGGACGAAGCTCTATGCAGATGTCAGACATACGTGTGTCACTGTGACCTTTGTCAGAGGATGAAGATGACGCCAACGGTGCCTTACGGTCTATTACACCCAATAGAGGTCTACAGCCCATTTTACACAGTTGGGTCGGACATAATAGGGTCATTCAAAACTTCAAAAGGTTACAAGTACATCATTGTAGCCTTTGATTACCTCACAAAGTTCGTGGAGGCAAAACCACACCAGAACATAGAGGCCGCAACCATTCGGAAGTTTGTCGAACGACGGATCATCATAAAGCACGGATGCCTAGTCACAATTATCACAGACCGCGGTACCCAAATGACGGTGTGCTCTGCTGAAGCACACTTACAACATCGGGGAATCAGGCATGCTGCCACTACCGCATATCACCCCGCAGCAAACGGCTTTTGCGAAAGAGTCAATAAAACAGTCAAAGAGATGATTGCCATGACTACCGCCGGGGCAGAAAAATGGGCCGGTGTCCTCCTTTATATTGTAATCTGTTACAACACCGGGTATGCAGACAGGGTTTGCCAAACTGTTTTCTTCCTCGTATACGGTAGTGATCTGTTGCTACCGTTCGATGTTGTATACAGCCGCCGAGAGCTTGAAGAGCTCAAAGAAAAATCAAACTATTTCACGGTAGTGCGTTAACGACTACAAAAAGCTAGAGAGCTCGCGGGGACACACATTCGACTGGCTCGAGAAAAACAGAAGCGGCACTTTGAAAAGCACTTCAAGGACGTTGTGTTTGAAAGAGGGCAACTGGTGCTCCTCAAGACTTCAACGTCCGGTGTGAAAACAACTACTTCGTTCACCGGACCTCACAAGATAGTGAACAAGCTCTCTCCCGTGAACTACGAGATCGAACTCGCAGACAACATGGGAAGTGACATTGTGCATGTTGAAAAGACCATATCTGAGCCCCAGCAACCCAATGCTTCGGACTAAGGTGTACATGGGTGCCGTGCATTGTAAATAGTTGTTGGTGCTTGTATATTTTTTTGTGCGCCTGAAAGTGGATAGACAATGTTTTGTTGACTTTTGTAAATAGTTACAGATAGGACTGTTTAAGTTAGTTAAATTACGTCTGTCTAAGTGTTTTGTGTGTGAAGCCGGGACAACTAGTTTCCAAACCCGGGCATGTGACAAGCGATAGCAGGTGACGCTCTGTGGGTGTCTCACGTCTTTGCCCAAGGAAAACGAAGTAAGTCGGCGCCGAGCTCGTGAGCTCGGCGCCGGCAAAGAGTCTGACAGCCCCTTTAGGATCTTGAATAATTGTGGACGTCCTTCTTAGGCCGCCTCGGACACCAGTATATCCGACTGCCAAAACGGCACGCCACATATATGTTATCTAGGTGTGATGGAAGACTAAAGTTATAGTCCTAAATAGTTATTTCGCGGTGTAAGACATATTTGTGAGCAAATAATTTATTGAAATACTATTGTGGTATGCAGGTAATTAATAAAAACTAGACATGACAATGGGCCCGAGAACCAGCCTAGAGGCACGCCTGACTTTACTTCACAACGTGAATTGCAGCGATAGATGTGAGAATTCACAGCTAAACGAAGAGCACAAGCTCCATGAGTGAGCTCTAATGGACTCACTTATGTACAAAGGAAAATTGAAATTTCTTTTACCACTTGCAGTATATCGCTTCTACAAAGTTTTTTTGGAAGGCTTAGGTTTTTCCCACTCTCTCTCTTCTAACGAGATAATGCTCCAAGCTTCAGGTTTCGCAGCGGCTTCAGTGTTTTCTATGACAATGTGATTGAGGAAAGCCGGCTGAAAAGTTGTCGCTCGCATTTTTCCTTTGCAGCCATAAATATCTTTCTTTCTTTTCAGATCTGCAACTTCAATGCCGTTTTAAAGGACAATACCCAAGAATGGCTGACCGGCAAGAAAGTTTGAGAATGAAGGGCATCATATGTCTGCTTATTCGGTTTCGTGGCGAATTAATACCTCACTTTAACTTTCTTACTGCACATAACGCACACAAGATGAAGCAAGATGACTGCCTATATCAAGCAGCAGTCCTTTTAATATACCGAGCTGACAAGCCCACTGCGTGTGATTACTGCATCATTAGCATACAAGCCTGTCATATACGTCACAATCGAAATAAAATTTTTGTGAGCACTAACATGACGGCTTTTCTGAAGAACTTCTTTTGTATGACTGGAGTCGCTCGCAGATCGTACGTAGCCCAGGACTGATATTCTGAAACGATTAATCCACATTGTTGGATCCGCTAGTACGGTTGACTTCAATACAAAATAACATTTTCAATGTGATCCGGAGAACCGCAATATATCTGGTAACGCAATTACACTAAATTTAAACTTCGTGAAAATGTGCTATGGGTGATATCAAAATTAGCTGTAAGCGCTTAGTTTTACATTATCAAGAGAAACATCGTGATAATACCGTGAGGTATAGAAGCATGGCAGCAGTAAACTTTCAATGAAAACTTTCGACACCTTTATTTGCATCTGAATCACAGGTTCTTCTTAAAGAATGACTTGATCGGGACAAGCCTCCTCACACCTTCCCAGTTGGCTCGTAAATATGGCTTTCAATGTCATGACAGTGCCCCAACGTCTCCGTAAAATTTGCACCCACGTTTAACGGCTCATGTCGAATCTGTCTATCTATCTATCTATCTATCTATCTATCTATCTATCTATCTATCTATCTATCTATCTATCTATCTATCTATCTATCTATCTATCTATCTATCTATCTATCTATCTATCTATCTATCTATCTATCTATCTATCTATCTATCTATCTATCTATCTATCTATCTATCTATCTATCTATCTATCTATCTATCTATCTATCTATCTATCTATTTACGGCTTTGAGCTCTCTCGGTCGTTTCGATAATGGTATCTATACCAATATTGGTATGACATAACATGACTGTGATACAAGCATAAGGGACTAGTGATAACATGCAAGCCATGACATGCATGTCATGATGTACATTTTATGGTTTTTCTGCTCTTGCGGTGGTTTCGTTGACATGGCATATTGCAAAACTCGTATATTAAGACATAACTTCATGGCAAACATAACGGACCCTCAAGAGGAAATCATTACATGCATGTCTTATGAATGATGACTACACGCCATGTTCACGGCGTGATCGCTGTCATTTCGGTAGTTTCACATACACAAAATTCTGTATCGCGGAACATGAATGTTTGACGAAGGTATATGACTGGTGCAAACATGATAATCATAAAATGCTTGTGATCTAGAACATGACTACATTTCACGCTCATGATGCGCTCGCGGCTGTTTCGCTACATTCACATATATTAAATTTGGTATTACGAGACTGGAAGAAAATACGAAGGTAGGCGACGTCCAAACATGAAAATCATGTCATGCGTGCCATGTAGAACATGACTACATGCTACTGTCATTGCACGCACGTGGCCGTTCCGCTAGCTACACATGTAGCAAATTTGGCATCACCTGACCTGAATAGACGCAAAGGTAACTGACACGTTCAAAAATGATAATCATGACATGCGCGTCATGTAAAACACGACTACATGCTATGCTCATAGCGTGCTTGCGGCTCTTTCGCTGGCTTCACATGACAAATTTGTTCTTACGTGACATTGTTGAGCGATGAACACGAATTCCAGACAAAAACATGATAATCGTTACACGTAAGTTATGTACGCATAAGTTGTATCCGCCTCGTAACGTTGTGTTCATTTTAAAGTGACATATTAAGCCTCCTCGTTCGTGCTTGGCATATAATTGATTCCCACAATACGTGGGACCTGCCACTTTTCTTCTCTCTCTTTCCTGAACAAAGCTAACCAGTTCTTTCTAAACTCTCTAATTCAAAGCCTATTAAAACATGCTCATTTGTTTAATAAGGCATCGCCAATTTCTTTGCCGATGCCTCAAGGTAGCTGGGTCTAGTTTTTATAAGGATCAACGAACCTACCAAACAACCAACATCATGAAGGGTTTATTTTGCTTGTTAAGTAAATATGTTATTTTCTCTCTGAATTATTGTGGTTTATTCTACAGTTCGTGCAGAAGACCCTTTGGAATTTCTACTCGCTGAGCACTTCTCTGCTGGAAGGCAGCCTCTCGGAAAGCAATACCTGCCGGGTAAGAGGCCGGCACATTCAACTGTGAATGGGCAAACCAGACAAAAACTGTGATTTCAAGCATGCACACCTACAAAAAATGAAAACCAGCTGTGTTCTACGGATGTGAAGGTCAGCTGCAGCGGTTAGAGAGACAACAAATTCTTTTAATGAAAAGCTGATGTCCAGTCCCATAGCCAGGGAATAACCCATCAGACCTATGTCCCCCTCCCCCTTGTATTTATCCTGCCGTAGCACACCTATTAAAAATGACTTTTTCAAGATGGGGCTCTACTTCTCCAAAATCATTAAGGTTTTTCTTCCCGCATGAAGTCATAAAATGAATACTCGCCACATCAACAAAGGTAAGCGCGTTTTAGAAAGCGCCATGATCGGACTAGAGGGTCTTTAGCGAAGTGACGGGAAGCGAAAAACGCGAGATCAGGCAAGTTCAACAATTCAAAGTGGATCACATCACTTACGAGGAGGAAGAGAAGGAAGAATAATAAAAAATCTGGTGGCTTCGGTGGTTCGCATTCTACGCCTAGGTGTGAGCCAGGAGCGCTTGGGTGCGCCGGAAGATACCGGGCCATTTTTAGTCGGTATAATTGCTTGGAATTTTCTTGTAGGCGACCACGCATTCTCCTCTCCTTTATTGTGGCGGCATCTGTGGCTCGGCGTGCGTGTCCTTGAGCCGCGGTGTGAGCTGTTTTGTTGCCACGAAAGCAGAAGCGTGCAGGCGCCCAACAATTTGGGCTTCTTTGTGGACTCGAATGTTGACCAATATTTTTTGTGTTCTTGCAGCAAGATTCACCCTTTCGCAAAATTTCTGACTGCAGCCTTGCAGTCGCTGATTACACTTTCAGCCTGTGTGAAAGCTCTGATCAATGCTATAGGCGATTCTGCCGTATCTTTCACGTGGCCGGCTTGTATAGAGCGGCTACCCCTTAAAGGCACCACTGTTGTATTTCGCTGTGGAAACTCAGGCGCTCTTGAGATACCGAAATGCTCCGAGAGGAATGCTCGGAAAATTAAACGCTAGGCTGTCCCTACAGCTACTTAAACACACTTCGTCTGTCACAGCACCACTGTCAGTAACTCGTCCTATTGAGCAGCTTGACAGAACTCGTGCACAATGATTCGTAGGTCTATAGACGTTTCAGTTCCAAATATTCTGTCGAGAAACCACTTTTCGGCATTGATTCTGGGAACAATTTAGGGCATCTGATCATCAGATTGATGGGCTGGTGAAGGAGGATAAATTTATTTACTTAAAGAACCTACTGAGAGATTTAGCGGCAACAGCGATTGACGGCCTTCAGGTGACCGAAAATACTTATCATGATGCTATCGATATGTTTTAAATATGGTTTCGTTGAGTCAAGAAGCCTTTATGACGCTTACGAGCACTGCCAAACGTGATGCGCTAGAATGACATACAAGGCTTAAGGACTTCGCATATATTCGTACACTACGACATCCGTGAATTGAAAGGCCTTACCAACATTTCAGCTACTTAGGCCATGATGATGACGGATACACCGGCCAGGGCAATTTACCGGCAGACACTGCTGCTTGATACCACCGGGACCTCACAAGGAGTAAATCACCTTCCAAAGACGCACCTCATAGCAGCAGCAACACTTGTGCAGACCATGACTTTCCAAGTTTACTTATAGTCCTCCAAGTGAAAAAAATAAAACTGCTGTCCAAGCCTAAACAGTAAATGTATCGAAAAGAGACAGTACAGCCATGGAGTGAAAACTGCTTTCTCCTCCAAGCCATTGACAGTACTAGGTTTCTGGACGATAGACAACAAGCTTTGTATGTTGTGTGGCTCATCGTACCATACCTTATAGCTCGCTTTAAAAACTGATACGACAGCAGTAAGAGTTAGAGAGCTCTGCTACTCTCTTTCCAGAGATAGTTACAAATAATACTCTCTCTAGAGAGAGTCACTTTGGTCTTTTTGCCTGATGAAGTGAAAGCGAACTGTCACCCTTTTAGGCAAAAAAAGTAAAGTGCCTGTTTCACTGCTGCATACCATGAGAGAGTTCAAAGCCTGTTTTACTCATTTGCAATGACAGCTTGTTTCAGGGATTGTTTAGTAGTTCCCTTTTCCAACTGGAGGAGCTCCAAAGATAAATCCGCCCAGCATACGCAGGGCATACGTGTGATTCGGCCTTGAACGAGAGGTGGCCACCTGCTACTACAACAACAACAACTACTACTATACTACTACTACTACTAGCACTACTACTACTACTACATCTGGGACGCACAACCCCGATGTAGTAGTAAACATCTCCCCGAAGAGAAAACCCTGATGGGATGCGAAGCAGCGTTGGTGCGCACAGCGTTGACCTGGTTGAAACAGGCGTCGACGCGGGCACTGGGAGAACGGTTGAGCTCGTGGAGTTCTGGCGGGTGAGGCGGGCAACGGTAGTCGCGTGTGAAACTTATCATTGGAACCTTGCCCGACGTCAGCGACTCCTTGCAAGTCGCAGGAACGTGCGCCTGACTAGGCGCAGACTGCCTAGTTGCCCGGGTACGTGCCGAACTCACGTTGAATCACTCCAGCCGCCGACTCCAGCTGCTTGCGCTTGCGAACAGAACCGACGTCGGACAAGTAGTTGTCGAACCACAGATGATTGCACGAGCAGGCCACTGTGACCGAATGCTACGTTTGAGCGACTCTCAAGGAAAGTGGGCGTCAGCGCGCCGGCGTTGCTGGTGGCGTCGCGGATGATTGTCACCACGCGTGGACGCGATCGGCGTTACGGCGGCGAGACGCCTTCGAATTGGTCGGCGGAGCCCGGCACTTGCGGGCGGGCGCTTCATCGAAGGGCGCACGGCATTTTCGAGACATTGCCGACGACGGTGAGGTCGAAGGTTCGCTGGTGCTGGCCTTCCGTCTTCGGCGCTTCCGTTTGGTTTCCTTGGCTCGCGTGTCGTTGGTGTTACCGACGCGTTAAAGACGCTTGCACTCGGTTTTCTTGGCTAGTTTCTCGTCGGTGTT